GACATAAAAGAGTAAGGTGTGTTTCTCAAACTAATAACTGATTGTTTATGCATGAAACTCACATTCTCAATAGTTAAGGCATGAAACTCATATTTTCAATAGTTAAGGTATGAACCTCAAAAAAAAAGTTTAGTTTAGGTGTGTTTTGACAATTTTCTCAAAAAAAAGATAAGAAACTCGGATAATGATATCAAAGAAGTAAAAATAATTTTTGTATGAAAAAATTAAAATATACCTTAAACTTGGTTAGAAGGATCATATATATACCTCTACATGAATTGTTCTTTAATTTAAAATAAAATAAAAATTAAAACTATTCCATTTTTTTCACTTCCGCTAGATAAATGATATTCTATATAAACTTCTTGTGTAACGATAAGGATATATGTGAGTCTTAATAACGATAGAACATATATAATTCACTTTTATAACAAAAGGTATATAAACTCTAAATGATATCTATTTTGGATCCGGACTCTATAAAACATAACGATCAGATCCAGTCATGTTTGGTGAAGCCTTGGAGAAATTTCTGGAGGGTCCAACATTGAAGGCGCTTTTATTTTGTTTCACGAAATTCAAATAAAGGCGAAAGCATCGTATTGGCAGGGAGAATCAAGCCGCCTTAAGATTCGGTGCGAATATCTTTACAATATTCAAAAGGATCATAGAGCCGGCGGCACACACATCTGTAAATCACCGCCCAGCTACTTCCCAAGGAAGATATTTAGTAACATGACTTGCAGAAATCAATATCTTAGCCTTGCAGAAAAATTGCACAAAATTTGGTCCGAAATTAGCAAGAAAATTTAAAAAAATACTATTGTTTTTTTTATTTTTAAATATACTGATTTTTTTTCTCATTATTTTATTAAAAAGATATTAAAGTTAAAATGATAAAAATGTTCAAAAAAGATAAAATACCATTCTGGTCAAATTCTGACCAAAAGGATTTTTCCAATTTTAAATTAGCATACTTATTAACAAAAATAATACTTACTTAATTAATATAATGAGTTTATTATTTTACACTTATTAATTAATAGGGTTAAAACATATTTACTCACTACTTTTTTTAAAACAGTAATTCAATTTTATTAAATTGAGGATATAATAAAGAAAAAAATATATTTTTTCTTGATTTGTCAAATGACAAGTAAAAAAAAAATCCAATTACTAAATATATGACAAGTATATAGAGACGGAAAGAGTAATAAATTTGTTGGAGAGTCGTAAGTGCGCCATCCTACATTTTTAATCAAAGTTTCAAATTTAACTTTTGAATCTCGAGTAGTGTGTGAAATTAGCAATATGGCTAATGGTGTTTAAAAATTTAATATATACCTGTAAAAGTATTCATTTGATGTATAATTTCAAAAATTAAAAAAATTAATCTACACAATATAATTTTTCAATAAATAATATTCAAGTAATCACTTTTGAATTTATATATAGTACATCACTAATCTTTTATAAGTCATGAAGTCACACAATTAAATTTAATCAATCTCAATACAAATACTTGCACCAAAACTAAAACAAAAAAAAGTAAAAGTCCAGCCGAAATATGGAGAGTGGGTGATGGCACCGTTAGTTTAGTTGTAGTTGGGGTCTCACATTTCAAGGCATCTGTTAGAGTTCCAACGTGAGCTTCTCTGACACAAAGTCACCAACCCATAACTCAAGGAACTTGGTCACGATAACTACCTCTATACATTGATTTTTCTTCACCACTCCTCTTTTTTTCTTTCTATGCCTATCCATTTGAATAGAAAAATTATTTTCGTCACAAAATTTAGCCAGATTCGTAAAATAACATATTTCATATTATATTATTTTATCTTTTCAAAAAAAAATTATTTTTTTAATTTTAATATCTTTTAATTAAAAAATAAAAAAAAGATCAATTTATTTTAAAATAAAAAAAATATTATAGACTTTTTAAATTTATGATTAAATTCTAGCTAAATTTTCTGGTCATTTAGCATTATCCGATTTGAATTTTATAGTCTAAAAGAAATTCATCACAGATAAAGGAATTTTTTGACTTACATACATATTAAGAAAAGGGTAAAAAATATTCTTAAAATATGTGAAAGGAACAAAAATGCTCTTTATTTATTGTTTGGCTCAAATTAAATGTCTTTACCATCAATACTTTGGTTCAAAAATGTCCTTAAATTATGCGAAAGGAACAAAAATATCATCCGTTTGTAGTTTGGTCCAAAAATGCCCCTATAGTTACAAAATGGGTCAAAAAATATCCTTTTTCGAATAAATATTTTTTTTCCTTTTTTAAACGCATCTTCTTCCTAATTAAACTATTACTATTAAAGAACACTATTTTTATTTTCTTTCTTCTAAAATCACTTTAACAAAAAAAATGTAGGAAATATTTTTTTCTTCTTCTTAATCTCATTTTATCAATTAAAATAAAACTTCATGTACACTTTCGACAGATAATATATGTCATATATAGGAATGACAAAATGGGTAATTTATATGGGTACCCAACTCATTTTAAAATGGGTAAAAAACAAGTCATACTCATATTACCCATTTAAAAAGGGTAAAGAACAAGTCATACTCATATTACCCATTTAAAAAGGGTACTTAAATGGGTAAAAATTGATAAAAGAGATTCATTTATAAAATAAATAAAAGTGATGGTAATATTTTTTTAAGGTGTAGGAGGTTGGGGTAGGAATGGGTGGGATAAGGGAAAAAATCATTTTTTTTTTAAAAAACAAAATCTTTTTAGAAAGTGGCTGGGTGGGTGGGGCTGAAAGTGGGGGGGGGGGGGGATATGGTGGCGGTGGTGATCAAAGTAGTAAAAAATAATTTTATTTTTTTAGGCGTTGGGGTTGGCTGGTGGGTGGGTAGTGATGGTGTGGTGGGTGATCAAAGCAGTAAAAACTAAATTTATTTTTTTAGGCGTTGGGGTTGGCTGGTGGGTGGGTGGTGATGGTGGTGGGTGATCAAAGTAGTAAAAAATAAATTTAATTTCTTAAAAAAACAAATAAAATAAATTAATTTAATTTTTTAAGCATTGGGGTTGTGGGTGTGGGGGGGGGGGGGGGATATGGTGGCGGTGGTGATCAAAGTAGTAAAAAATAAATTTAATTTTTTAGGCGTCGGGGTTGGTGGGTGGGTGGGTGGGGGAGTCGGAGTAGTAAATTAATAATAATTTTTGAGGTGTTAGGGATGGCGTGGGCAGGTTAAATTAAAAAAAGTTAATAAGTATTTTTTTTGTGGGAGTGGGGTGGGGTGGGGGTGAGACTTAAAGAGATTTTTTTGCTTTTGAAGCTTTTAACATGATCCCTATAATAATAGAGTAACTTTCACATATAGCAAACATAAAAATCATATTTGTATGTTATAACTATAGTTTACATAATTGCGCTCCATAGCAGATTTTATGTTTGCTATGGAGTTTTTGATTTGTATAATTCGCTAGATACATCAAATTTTATACAAATTGTTCAGTTTTGTATAAATTTATTTATACATTGTAATTTGAATAATAAGATCTGTATTTGTATAATTATAAGTGTATAAGACAAAAATATATGTATTTGTACATACACTAATCTCTCGTTTTATACAAACACAAACGCATTTTCTACCAAAATGTATAAAATGACTAATTGTATACCGAAAATGGATGATTGTATATCGAATCATATGGCAAAAAAAATGGGATGTTTGCTGCGAATTATAAATAAAATAAACTATGACTATAACATTTAATTTGAATTAATAGTTTGTTATTTCATACAATTTTCTCATAATAATATGGGTAAATTTGGATAACCATATTATCCATTGGATAACTCGTTTTTACCAATTTAAAATATGAGTTGAGTAGAGTATTTTACCCATTTATTTAACTCGTTTTCGATCGACTCATATTCAACTCGACCCGTTCGTTTGCCACTGCTAGTCATATATATGAGATCATAATATATCCGTCATTAATTTATACGTATATAACAATAAAAAACTAATGACAACAAAATAAGAAATATTATCATTTTATATTTTTTTTCTGAATTGAACTAAGATAAACATTTGCTAATTTTAAAAAAATCTTATTAGAAAATGAATGTTTTAAAAAGAAATTAATAATATATTTATTTGAAAAATGAGCATTTTTGACCCATTAAATAACAATAAAGGCTTTTTTAGATCAAAGTATTGACGGCAAGGTATTTTTGGACCAAACTACAAACGGATGACACTTTTGTTCCTTTCGCAGAATCTAAGGGTATTTTTGAACCAAAGTGTTGACAGTGGACATTTTTTAGCCAAATTATAAACGGAGGGCATTTTTTACCCTTTTCCCGTAAGAAAATAATAATTGATATAGTAAGTTAATCATTTTACTTCTATTAATTGATATATGACACAATCCAAAATCAATTTACTAATTAAAGAAGTTCTACCTTTTTTAAAAACATTAACTTTCTAAATAAATTGAGAATATGGTAAAATTCTTTTTTCTTTTTTAATTTGTCAAAATAACAAATAAAAAGTAAATGAGCAAATAAAAAGAGACAGAGGAAGTATTATATTACGTAAACAGTTTTTTTTTATTTATAAATTTAAGCGACATAATTGTTTCTGCAAACTCAAATATTTTACATATCGCCAAGTTAGGTGGTTTGGCGGACTGGTCTAATTCTTACATATGCAAAGACTAAAAGATTTATTTACAAAGATGAATTCTGACTATGAATCTTTTTTTGCATGTCACTGAGTTCGGTGGATTAGCGGTTTGGTCTTACAGAATCAGTTAGCTTTCCCACAACCCATGAGACTCTGCTCCCCCATTCCTGGCGTTTTGGTCCCCAATGTAAACAGCACATTAAATTCTTTTACTTTTTGTTTTTCGTTATCCCAAAATAAATTTACAAAAAAAATAATTATAATATCCAAATCTTCCATCTATATAAACCCAAGTGGTTTGCCTTATCCCTTAAGCCTCTTTTCATTCTACACTATACTTCTCCCTACAAGTGTTAAGTTTTCTTTTGCACTTTGTCAGCCATGGCTAAAACCGTAATAACAACTCTTTTCTTAGCCCTGTTTTCGTCTTTATCCTATGCAATTGACATAAATAAGGAGGGAATTATATACGAAAAGTGGCTGGCAGAGCATGGGAAAGTATATAATGCCTTAGGAGAGAAGGAGAAACGATTTGAGATTTTTAAAGATAATTTGAGGTTCATTGAGGAATATAACAACTCCGAAAATCGCACGTATAAGGTTGGGTTGAACCAATTTGCTGATCTCACAAACGAGGAGTACCGGGCCATGTATTTGGGCACTAGAAGTGACGCTAGGCGTCGCCTTGTGAAGTCCAAAAACACAAGCCAACGCTATGCTTCGCGGCCCAATGAGTTGCTCCCTCATTCCGTCGATTGGAGGAAGAAAGGCGCTGTTGCTCCTATCAAGAATCAAGGGAGTTGTGGTACGTCTTTGGTCGGTTTATGTGATTATAAATTATTTCATTAATGTACAATTTTAACTTAAACTTTTATTAATTATAAAAGGGAAAAATGACAAATGTACCCCAAACTATGTATCTTGTTATATTTTTGGGACATTGGTATCCTGTCATCCAAAAATTAAAGCATATATACATACCCTTTTACATGGCAATGTTTTCATAATTTGTTTGGGCTTTTACAGGAAGTTGCTGGGCTTTTTCAACAGTAGCAGCAGTAGAAGGCATAAACCAAATCGTAACAGGGGAAATGATCACACTATCAGAGCAAGAACTTGTAGATTGTGACAGAGCTCAAAACGTTGGTTGTAATGGTGGCCTAATGGACTATGCCTTCGAGTTCATCATCTCCAATGGTGGCATGGACACTGAAAATCACTATCCTTATCGCGGCGTTGATGGCAGATGCGATCCTATTCGAGTTAGTCCATACTAAATTTTATATTCCTATAAATATATGACTACTTGGTGAAAAATTCTAATTGATTAAAGTTGTAATGAATGTTACAGAAAAATTCTAAGGTTGTTAGTATTGATGATTATGAAGACGTGCCTAGAAATGAAAAAGCACTTCAAAAAGCTGTAGCTCATCAACCTGTTAGCGTAGCCATCGAAGCTTCTGGCAGGGCCTTCCAACTCTACACCTCGGTAATTCGAACCTCAAACCTTTTATGTACGTACATGTAACATTTATTCTGAATTTACTGACTCTAAATTTTTGATCAGGGCGTGTTTACGGGGGAATGTGGAGAGAAAGTAGACCATGGTGTTGTGGTCGTTGGGTACGGAAGTGAAGATGGAAAGGATTATTGGTTAGTGAGGAACTCATGGGGCACAAAGTGGGGAGAAAGTGGTTATGTTAAAATGGAGCGTAATGTGAAGAATGGTCATTTGGGCAAGTGTGGAATTATGACGGAGGCTTCATATCCTATTAAGGAGGCCATAAATATTAGCAGTATCTGAAGAAAAAATTATCTCCCTCAGTTGCATTTGCGTTATTTCATGGCTTTATGTGTTATTTTAGGATATGCTTGTTTTAGTTGATCATTTAATTAATATTGTGTAAATAGTTGGGTATTTGTTGTTGCAATGAATTTCTCTGTTTGTGTTTTGATTAATGAAAAGTACTGTCTTGGATTTTTAGTGTTTCATAAAAGAGAGATTTGCTAGTCATTTTCTTGATCTAGCATGTTATCAAATAATGTTTTATGTCTTCTTTTTATGCATATAATAATATTATCCTTTTTTATAGATCAAATACAAAAACAGGTTATTAAACTGTCTCAAATTTTTATATTTTGACACTTAAATTAAGGCTTGATCTGATTTAACACTTCGATATCATTAAAAAATGTGTCTATTTAACCTCATGAGTCATGGCAAACAAGCTGAAAAGATATCCAACATGAAATACACACTATAATGTGGCAAAATTAACAAATGAAAAGAAAGCCGTGTGATATCTTCTTCTTTGGAATTATTATGAGGTTGTGTAATCTCGTCTAATAGGTTCTTCAGATATTCAAATATAAAGACAAATTGCTGCTCATTCAAGTGACGGATCTAGATTTTTAAAGTTGTTGGTGCTCTCTTAACTTAATTAAAAAAATGTGTTAAGAGTGAGATTTGAATGTCAGAATGTTAGGAACACTAAAACAATCTTAAGCACCAAACATGAGTAATTGATGCTCTATGTTAATTTTATACAAATGTTTCTTAATTTCTACATAGATATATATAGTCTGATACAAGGTTAATGGATGCTCGAGCATCGAAGGTGTCAATGTGGGTCTGCCCCTGTTTCGGAATACGTTTGGATATGGATATAAAAACATGATCTGAAATAAGTGTTTTGAACATGCAATTTGAAATCATAATATGACAAATTTCAGATTTTTCAAAAGGCATGCTTTGCAGATTTGGGATCTCAAATTGTTTTGTACGTAAAACTTGAGTCATAAGTTTATATTTTGTAAAAAGTGATCACCGATGTCTAGAGTAAAGAGATTGTTTATACCATGTAAAAAAATTATATCAAAGAATAAGTAGTTACAGTTGTTGAATAGTGATACTTTCTAAAATTTATTTGTATATAAAAGTTTGCAGTCATAAACATTTATTAATGTGCGTTCAACCATATTTTATTGTGAAATTTAAAATAAAATAAAAATATTTTCAAAGTGAAAAATGACCATGAATATAAATTGGAGTTGTTTTATGTTTTTAACTAGGAGCTCCCCATTTTTCATTATTATCGTGACTTGAGCTCACAATCTTAGGATTGAAAGGAAGGATTGTTTTCATCCTAACAACTCCCTCGGGTTAACTTTAAGTTGTATTTTATAATTTTATGGCCAAATGTATCTATGTAATTTCATAAAAATATTTGATTTATCAATGCAATACAATAGAATATTTCAATTAATGAACAATAATTTATTCATTCTATAAAATTATACTTATAATTTTTTTAAAAAAAATTTGATTAGTTTTCGCAACGCATTGCCTCACGAAAATACTATATATAGGTGAGTCACTTTTTAACTTTTCTTATAAATTAGGCACTTCCGCTTAATTTCTTTTTCCAGAAAACGTGAGGTGCTCTCCGTTTCTTCAGTGGTATCAAGTAGAGGTTTAAGGTCATAAAGCATACAAGAATTCTAATGAAAAAAAGTCATACGACGGTCCTAAATTGTTAAGGAAGTACTACTTTACTTTTCATTCAAGAATTCTGAAAACTTATCAAGTTGGAATTTGATTTCAAATAGGTAATTTCTCACCCTTGACCATAATTACATAATACGTATTGTAAAGTGGAAATCACTGTTTAATTTGAATTTTTGCATTAGTTCTTGGGTTTGACGAATCAGGTTCTTGAAAGAGGAAAAAGATGAATGGTAAATTGTTAGAACAGTATTAGTTTTCATTCAAGAACTGTAAAAATTCATCAAGAATTCCAAATAGGTAATTTTGTACCTACACTTGACATAGTTACAGAATACGTATTTGGGATGTATTGTGAAGTGGAAATCACTGTTTGCATTGATTTTTGAGTTAGTTCTAGTTTGATGAATTAGGTTTCTTGAAAAAGGAAACAGATGAATAGTAAATTGTTAGGAATGTTCCAGTTTTTATTCAAGAACGGTAAAAATTCATCAAGAACTCAAGTTTGGAATTTGATTTCAAATAGGAAATTTATCTACCTAAACTCGACTATATATACAGAATATGTATTTGGGATGTATTGTAAAGTAGAAATCACTGTTTGGTTTGAATTTTTGTGTTAGTTCTTGAAATGGGTTTGATGAATTAGGGTTCTTGAAAGAGGAAACAGATGAATAGTAAATTGTTAGAGAAATTCCAGTTTTCATTCAAGAATGGTAAGAATTTATCAAGAACTCAAGTTTGGAATTTGATTTCAAATAGGTAATTTCTCTACCTATACTGTGATACAATTAAAGAAGACATATTTGGGATGTATTGCAAAGTAGAAATCACTATTTGATTTGAATTTTTGTGTTAGTTCTTGGAATGGGTTTGATGAATTAGGGTTCTTGAGAGAGGAAAAAGACGAATAGTAAATTGTTAGAGAAGTACTAGTTTTCATTCAAGAATTGTGAAAATTCATCAAAAACTCAAGTTGGAATTTGATTTCAATAGGTAATTTCTCTACATAGACTGTAATATGATTGTAGAAGACGTATTTGGAATGTATTAGTGAAGTGGAAATCACTACTTTGATTTGAATTTTTTCAGTAGTCTTTGAAATGAATTGGGGTTCTTGAAAGAGGAAAAAGATGAAAGAAAATTGTTGATAAAAGTGGAATTCTTTTGGGTATCCTACTGACAGAGGGTCTATTCAATATTGAGTTAAGGTAAGTTGGAAAAATAGAGAATTTACTCTAAACAATTGTTGAGGAATTTGATAAGTTTTGAGGATATGTGAAGAATACTAGAAGGATCCGTTAGATGAACCTACCGGTCATTGATGAACATATGTATTGTTTTGTAGTTGATTGTGTTGGATTGATTGGTTGCAATTGGATGGTGGAAGCTAATGGTTGGTTATGTAAAGACTACACCCATGTATGTTGAGTTGGTTGGGCTTCAGGACACTACCCTTAGCTAGAAAAGAACCTAAGGTATGTCGTATGTGAAGCTAAAACTTCCTTCGCCATTAAGGCACCACCCTATGTCACATATTTCTTTTGTACATGCCAATACAGCTTATGTGAGATATAGAAGTAAGATCTTCATTTTCTTTACGTTACATTCCCTTGTCTAACTGTCAAAGCTTATAATTAATCATATTACACCTTTAAAGTCGAGTTTTTTCATAACATTTCGTATGACCATATGTGTCTTCAGTTGAAATTCTTAGGAGTCACATGGTATATATGCCACTTATTATTAAAAAAAAAACAAATGGCCATAGTATAGTATAGATTTAACGCATTATGTGATAGAAGCTACCCTTAACAATGGGAGGATAGTCATAAGTTTTACTTGACACACCTGCACCTTAGGCTTGTTTATGAACTATGAGTTGCTCATTTGGTAAGATTGTATAAAGTTGAGAAGTTTGATAGCTTTCACAAATTGTTGGGTTTTATGAGAAAAAAATACTTAAGAAATTCAAATTGCATGTCTTAACAAAATATTAACTTCAAAAGAACTTAATTTCAAATCACGGAAATTATGTCCAAACGTGCCCTAAAAATCCCAAAAGCCGCCTCAAATGTTTTCAATGACCTTTTTCTTTATCAAACCTTGTTGATGTTTACTGCAGATGAATGAGATGCTTAGAAGGATTTGTCGGCGCAACTTCTGCACTTGTTCTCCTAGGCCGTGGCTCTTTGTTGGGTTGGGCAATCCTGGGGATAAATACAGGGGAACGAGACATAATGTAACCTCTATTTCTGGACTAACATTACTTTCTCAGAAAGACTGCATAAAACCTGATCTATTTTGGGTTCCATCTTACTCGAGTGTTCTTCATTAAGAGCTTTATCTTTTGTTTCCGCTATAGGTTGGTTTTGAAATGCTTGATGCATTCGCAAATTCACAAGGAATTCATATGGAGACAGTACATTGTAAAGCTATGTTTGGAAAAGGTCTCTTTAGTTAAACCTTGATTTCTGTTTTTTAAGTGTTCGAAGTACATCTTCATATAAACTTGCTAATATATACCAATTCTCAGGTTTTGTGAATGACATTCCAGTGCTCCTTGCAAAGCCACTAACTTACATGAATTTGAGTGGTGAATCTGTAAGCAATTAAATACGTCTTACTTGTATCATAAGTCTTTTCTGTTTTCTGCTTATGATTGGTGCTGCTTGGATTCTATCTCAAAGATGTGTCTGAATGATAGCTGGTATTCTAAGTGTATTCTGTCGCATAGTGAAAGTGGGTTTACTTGTAAATTTTTCATTTCGCTTGATATGGATCTAGCTGATCTTGTTTATAATTAGTTTAGAGTAAACCCCTCTTTGAATTGGTGGTTATATTCATCCTGGCTCCAGCCATGTATAGTGTTTTCTTGTGTGGGTGGAATGATGCATGGTGAAGCTGTAGATCTCTAGAATAGTTTTTACTGCTGGAAACTTACAGTGCCAACTTTTTGTCTGTGAGAAGTAAGACCCTAATCCTGATGTTTTCAATGCTTAGCTCATATTTCTCTCTGTTAACCTTGAATAGTTTTGGACTAGTTTTCTCTGTTAGTTTCAAGAACAGTTACAACATGTTGAAGTTGTTGATACTGGATACAGTCAGCCTTTGACCACCGAACGTGGAATGCAAGTCCAACATTGACATAATTGGTAGGGTTGTTTTGTCAAAAGTTAACAAGAAACACTGAATGGGGCAAGTCAGATTAGTAGCTTTGTCTCGTGATTAATTAACCAAACTCTTGCCAAAAATGATTCTAACCTGATAAAAATGTTGTTCAGTTATTCTCTGAATTGTTATATTTTGTAAGTTTCTTTGAAAAATTGAGATAAGACTATCTTCTTTGCTTTGATTCTTGTAATTTATCACTGAAACAATCTTAAAGAAGCTACCAAGCTATTTGTCTATGTAGTTTGCAGATCACTTTTATTCCATGAACTAAGCAACCCAGATAGCAGCCTTGTGCTGCCAGTAACAACAACAAACCCAGTGAAATTCCACAAGTGGAGTGTGGAGGTAGAGAGGCTTCCAGAAAGTAGTGGTAATTCATATGCAAAATGCATTTAAGTGGAAAAATGATGTGACCCATGGACCTTAGCACACATTGGGTTAGCTTTTCATATGGACTTAGGGGAGCATGTTTTTGAATGGCAATATTTATCACATTTGTCTGACAATTGACTGTTTTTGTCATGACTGGCCTGTTCACAAGTTAAATGCAAATGTGCAAGCCTGGTCCCATTGTTTTTTCCCAGATTTAGTTCCCTTACAATCAGGTTAAGGGCATGGCCAGCCGTTGCTTCCCCTAGTTTGCCAGGCAGGTTTATACTTAATAGACTCTCATCAGACAATTAAGTTCCTCTGCTTAAATAAGTGAACTTTTATTTGAGAACTTCTATGAATAGAAAATAGCACATTAGCTAGCTCAATTTATGTCATTCAAACTCCATTTTACATGTGCAAATAAAAGATAAAATCCTTGTGACTCCCAGTAGATTTCTACTTGTTGGATGTTGATGTTTTCTGATGTTCTTAATGGGGAATGGAGATATATCGTGCTTTTCATTGATTCTTAGCGTTATCAAGGTGATCAATACTTCTGATGCCCTCTCATTTTTCTATTTCCCCAGATTGGCCCACTTGCAGCATATTACAAGCTCCCTCTCAATCGTGTGGTCGTGGTACGGTATACTAGTTGTTCATATTTTTGATCTAATTGGACATATTGTTTATGTTTTGTTAATGCTTTTCAACAATTGCCTTTTTCTCCAGTTTCATGATGACATGGATTTACCATGTGGAGTTCTTCGTCTTCACCCCAAGGGAGGTCATAACAGACATAATGGGTATGAATGGAATTCTTCTTTATATAAATCTACTTTAAAAAACCCCTTTAATTCAGTACCATGAAACCATCCTCCATCTGTTCATTTTTCCAGTGAATTGTCTATATAGGTTCATCGCTGGAATTTTAATGAACTTAGTAATGAAAACTGCTGGCTATGTCAAAATACCTAAAATAAAACATATCAAGTTATTTTTACCTCAATATAATAAGCATAATATTTTGTTAGAATGGCCACAACATGCGTCCGGACCTCTTTTTGAGTTGTGCATAGAATTTCTCTACCTCTGGAAATCTGTCTTGTTTGCTATGTCAAGTTTTTCATGTTTTTGCTAGTAATTCAGTACCAGAAGAGCTCTGTGTCTTTTCATGTGTGGTGCAGTTTCAGTTGCTGTTAAACTGTATATGATCCGGTTCTCTTTTTTACAGGTTGAAGAGTGTGATTTATCATTTTCGTGGGAATGGAGAGTTTCCTCGGTTAAGAATAGGTTTGTCGAAAGTCTGAAATGCCTAAATGTTCTCTTTTTGGCGTTTTGAGTTTTCAGTATGGAAAATTGAACATAGTTCTCTAACCAGGTATTGGAAGACCTCCTGGTCAGATGGATCCCAAAGCATTCATGCTTCAAAAGTTTAATGTAACTGCAAGAGAACGAGTAAGTTTATAACTCATTGAGTTCTTACATAAAATTGACTCCCTAATGTTCCTTTTCTTGTTTCTGTTCTACAAGCTTTTCTTGAATATCTTTTTGGTAATGTTATTAAAAATTTACTCAAATATCAGTACCAAGAAGGTAATGCAAAAGTTGTAAAAAAAGGTATCAAGAAAATGGACTTTTCAGGTTACACACTAAAGATTCTTGCAAGTTCACAAAAACCAACATATCAGCAACAAAAAACCTCTATCCAAAAACGGTAAATTGTAAATACGTTTAAAATTTACAACAGCTATCATTTCCTTCTTCCCGTCAAATCATCTTCTATTTCTAACTAGCCAAATTGACCATGCAATACATAACAGAATGTCTCCCGAATCTTCTTCAAGCTCTTGTTGATGCTCTTTGTCTATCAAATTCTATAGTTTAATGGCATTACCCAGTGAACTCCATAAATATTCAGAAATGAGGACCATAACTATAATGCAAACAGATGCATATACATGTAATTAGAGGTGACAACTATCCCAAGCCCATTTAACCTGCGCAACCCGCCCAGTATTTTAATAGGTTGGGCAATTACTGATTTTTCTGATGGGCTGATTTAGACAACCCGTTTTAACCTGTAAACTAACTCAGCCCAAATGCAACCGACGTCTCCCATAACTTAAACCGTGAAACACAAACTACAGTTCAGATGATTATAATAATATTAACCTCATCACATGAATCAGGGACACTGTGACAACATTGTTGATTGTATATATCATTTTCTGCTCTATCTTTCTTTGTCTCTGAGGTATGCAATTATATGTTTATTGATAACTCTAAAAAAGAAAGAACAAAAGTTGGATTAGGCTTGGGTTATAGTATACAACCCATTGTTTAGCCCATCATGATCCGCTCATTTTAGCCTTAGTTAACTGTGGGCAGTTTAGTGATTCAAGCTATCTTGACCCGCCCAAATTCAGCCCAAACCGCCCATCTGCCACCCTATATGAAATGCATACGCGTGAAGCTAGTCAACAAAACTTATTATTGATTAGATATAACAGAGAAGTCCATAGAGAATCTTTTTTTAAATGAAAACGACCTTGGAGAATCTATTGAACAAACAGTTGTATTTCTCCAATTTAGAAGAACACTCTTCCTCTGAATTTGGAAATTTTGAGACACATCGTTTATTTGGATTCTCCGGCTCTCCTTCCAATAATTCCACCATCAATTTGGATAAATATGTCTTCTTTTTATCTATTTAGTTGTTGCAAAAAGAAAATTTTGTTAGACATGTTGTAACATGTCATAGACATATTCCCTAGAGTGAAATGTATATCGATATCATATGGAAATCCAACATCGTTTTAAAAGTAAGCATGCTCCAGACATTGAAGCCACGTCAGAATCGGAGAGATCTTTGCTTGATAAAACTAATATATTTGAAAATTGAAAGAATTCCAAATGTATCTGTTTGTAGCTCTAAATCCACTTTGAGTTGAAGATTTATACATTTTACTTGCAGATTGATGCTGCATTACTGGAAGGAGCACATGCCTTGGAGCAAGTCTTATCCAAAGGCTTCTCCGAAAGTTCTAATTGCTTCAATACAACGCAGAAGTACAAGCACATACGATTGCAGACATTGCCAACGTAACGTCATGCATAAAGGTTTCTAGATCTTGTTGTTGCTGCGTCTTCTTTAGTTTCTGTTGATAGCTTAAATAGAAATAATAAGAGTCTCTTCTGTGACCATTCTTATTAGCTAAACATAAGTGAATGAACATTTCATGACCCCCTCCCCCCTACCTATATAATGCGACTTTAGAGGATGCTTTTGATACTCTTGAATTATTTCATGCCTGCAGATATATCCTTAAAAAACTGGCAATTATCTTTATTGTTTAAGCTTTCACGTTGCTTTTGCTCCTTTGGAATTACTTGTACTTGGACAAAAGAAACAAGTAAACCTAGCTGCTCAGTACTCTTAAGATCAATCCATGATAAAGTGACATAAGGAATATTTAGAACTACACATCTCTAGTTGGTGTGATGTGATTTTGACGCCACTCAAAAAAAATAAAATAATAGCAATTAGCATCACTTCCTTTGCTAGTGATTTCCTTTCTACTATTTTTAGTTTTCATGTACAAGCTCTGTTAGTTGTAAGCTACTAAAACTTAATTAGCTCACTTGTGGGTGTTGAATTGGTGTGCAACTGGTCGTTCCATTGTCATCAATGCATCCTTTTACTCGAAATAACCGGCCTTTCCTCTTTACTACTCACTATTAAACTACTACATGTTATCTGCTGTTAAGAAGGGTGGATGTTGTGCAGGTTGAGCTAGGATCAAACACTCACTAAATTTGTCGGAATGCAGCTATGTGAACTGCAGAAAAATTGCAGGACTGTTGAGAATTTCAGTTTCCTGTACAAATATTGTATAGCACTCCGCATTCGACGACTGTAAGTTGGTGAAAAGAAGAATTCCAGGAACCAAACTGGGGCTAAATGGGGGATGGAAGTATAAATTTTGCGTAAGAACCATTTGCATCGTCTTTCCATAATTGTACATTGGCTGTGAACATGGTAAGGTTAACTTTATCATCACTAGAGAATATGAACTTGACAACTCAAAACTTACAGGACTATTGACATGTAATAATTCATGTAATGTTTGTTATTTAGTTGATTATTTAATATTGAAAATATTTTCTATTTTAGGGGTTTATATGTTGCAATGCATTTCTGTTTGTGTTTTGTTTAATGAAGATAAACTTTATTTTGTGTGTTGACAAATTCAGAACGTGAACGAATATGGAATTATTTAAGACAGATTTGTCAAACTTCAAATAATAAACTTATTTTAAAACTTCATCTAACCAACCCCCACCCCTGGCCCCACACAGATGTAACCAAAACTCCAATAATTTATTGAAGGCTCCTTGATTTTATTCGTTGACAAAATAGAACATGAACGAATATGGACAATTATAAAAAGAAAAGATTGTTTTAACATTTTCTCTTGAGCTGACCGAATATTATATGCATGCCTTCTTTTAAATCAAGAAAGAAAAAAAAAAGATTTATCCATTGTTAACGTAAAAGATACTGTACATTTTAGTGTGTTTAGCTTATGAAGTGAAACCTGTTGTAACAACGATTTGAGTTACGTGAGGATACGAATAATTTCCTTGAATTAGTTCCACAACCTAATTACTTTTCGAAAGATGCAGAAAATTCTCGGTGAAATTATAAACCTGCCAGCTGCCCCTCGGTGGAAAAAACTCTTTTTCTTTTTATTAATATACATAATTGTTTATTTATCAGCAATTAAATTGATAATTAACCAATGACCCAATCAGTAGCCTGCCTTTAATAGTGAACTAGACCCAATGGTGTTTCCCATGGGTCATATGTGTGAACTGTCAACAGCTGGTTTTGGCAAATATTATCAGCCACTTCATTTGTTTAATTGCTGCATGTTTCAATTTTTTTAATTCTTTCACATCTCCATGACCATTGGTGGGTCAAATAGATTAAGGCATATGTGAATGAGATCCTCCTAGTTTAATAACTTAGTTCCTATTTGCTAAAAGATCAATGTATGGAGGCTGAGCATCATCAAACACGAAACAAGTTGACCTTTGATCACGCAACAAATTGCCAAATTCAACACTACTAAGAGTTTAATCTTTGAAAAGAGCACACTTACAATCTGATAACAGAGTGTTCAAGATCATGTAGTATTTAGTTATAAAAACGTGAAGAACTAGTTCAATTAGGGTCGTTTAAAATAGTGTGATCAATGAAGTGGTTGAGAGTCGTGAGTTCTCAGGTTTAAATTCCAGCAGAGATAGCCTTGGTGGATAGAGTTATATGATACTTGTTGCTAGTGGGAGATGACAAGTATTTTGTGGAATTAGTGGAGGTGTGTGAAAGCTGATCCGAACACCATGATCATTAGAAAAAATAATAGTGAAGAGGGGTCCAGTATGCAGCATATTCCGCAGTTGGATTAGTTCAACTTCAACATCCTACAATCATTTCTTCTTTATTACATTGTAGTTTAAGCGACGACTTGCTTGTAAGCTAAAGTCTACCTAAAAGCAAAACATTTTTCTTGCTTTAATAGAATGACCCAAATTCCATTCTTTTGAAGAAAAGTAGAAAACAAGTAAAAAAAAAAAATGGTTGCTGTATTCAACAAAGATCTTTTGAGTTGGTACCTCATTACCCTCAAGCTCAAAGAAACTGTTGATGCTGGACTTCAAAATACTCCTACTACTCCTACTCCTACTCCCACCACCAGCAGATCCATTAGTTTTCCAGAATTTCCCCTGCAACGACAACTGTTGCAAAAACAAGAGTATCACCCAGTTGATTCTTTGAAAACTACCCTCGAGGAAAATGTTCATAATGTAGAGGAAGGTCCAAAAACACCAGAATCCGAATGGGTAATTAGCATTAAGGACAAATTAGAACAAGCTAAGCAAGATAATGATGCTGGATCATGGGCTAAACTTTCTATTTACAGAGTCCCTTTAAGCCTAAGAAGAGATGATGATAAAGCTTACATACCTCAAATTGTCTCTTTAGGTCCTTATCACCATGGCAAAAAGCGCCTCCGGAATATGGATCGCCATAAATGGCGAGCTGTTCTCCAAATCCTTAAGCGGACAGATCAGGAAATTAAAATGTATATTGATGCTGTGAGTGAGCTCGAGGATAAAGCACGCGCCTGTTATGAAGGGACAATTGCAATGAACAGCAATGAGTTTGTTGAAATGATGGTTCTGGATAGCTGCTTCGTTCTCGAGCTATTTCGTGGTGTTGCTGGTGGATTCAAGCATCTTGGTTATGCGAGGAACGACCCGGTTTTCGCAATGAGGGGATCGATGCATTCGATTCAGAGAGATATGATCATGATTGAGAATCAAATTCCGTTATTTATCCTTGATCGATTGTATGGGATTCAATCTGATATGCCTGATGAGAAAGGTATTGTAGCTAGGCTAGCTCTGAGGTTTTTTGATCCATTGATGCCAACTGATGAGCCATTGACGAAGAGTGACTTGACCAAATTGGAGTCATCAATGGGACGTTCTGCTTCTTTTGATCCATTAGCAGACCTTGCTGGACTTCATTGCCTCGATGTTTTCAGGTACAGTCAAAATGGGTTAAATCAATAAACGGCTCATGACTCAACCCTTCCCAGTTTATTTGGGTGGATTCGAGTTGGACTGGTTGATAAAAAAAAAGGAGCTAATTTTGTCATCTCTATTTTCAGGAGGAGCCTTTTGCAGACAGGGCCTAAGCCAACGCCTAGGACGTGGATCAAGCGTTGGTCACATTCGAGTCGGGTGGCAGACAAACGCAGGCAGCAAATGATTCATAGTGTTTCAGAGCTGAAAGAAGCTGGGGTTAAGTTCAAGAAAAGGAAGACTGATAGGTTCTGGGATGTAAAATTTAAGAATGGAATCCTCAAAATGCCTCGGCTTTTAATTCATGATGGTACAAAGTCACTTTTCCTCAACCTGATTGCTTTTGAGCAGTGCCATCTTGACTGCACCAATGACATAACTTCGTACGTAATTTTCTTGGACAACTTGATCGATTCACCAGAGGATGTTAAGTACCTCCATTACTGTGGAATAATTGAGCATTGGCTTGGCAATGATGCTGAAGTTGCTGACCTTTTCAATCGGCTTTGTCAAGAGGTTGTTTTTGACGTCAATGACAGTTACCTTTCACAGTTATCCCAGCAAATTAACCGGTACTACGACCACAGGTGGAATGCTTGGCGTGCTACTTTAAGGCATAAGTATTTCAACAACCCATGGGCAATCATCTCCTTTGCTGCTGCTGTTATTTTGATACTCTTCACCTTTGCACAAACGTTTTATGGAGTCTATGGCTACTACAGACCACCTCAATAGTTTTCACTCAATTCTCCAGATTGATTTTCACAATTCGTAAACAATAGTCAATATACATTGTGCCAAGATGTTGGGCCACAACCGCCTAGCTACACCGGCATTTGAATTATTATTTCCGTTTTTTGGTGCTTTTACATCGACCGGTCGATGGAAAGCCAGGAGAGTTCTTTTTCTTTCTCATTTTTTTTGGCGTGGTCTTCGGTAGACCGTGCTCAAAATACAAGTTGATACGCACTTGTAATTGTGAAGAATGCTCAAATGATATGTCAAACTGAATTTTTCAAAGAAATTACATGTGGAACATTGTCGATCTCACTAATTACTGTTAACCAACTACATTCAACTCTTTATTTACCCCCAAAGAGAGGCTTCAGGCATAGTTGAAGCCAGCAGATTACTAATAAGAGCACTGGCAAGCTTCTTTACTTGAGGTAGAAAACTAAGTAAAGGGTACTATATGACATCAGGGTACACTTACAAAGCATAATTTTCTGAAAGCTGAGCAAATGGAAAACAAAGATATCATTACACTATGAAATATGCCCCGAGAGACAAAGATGTAACCATAACGTTGATACTAATTCTCCCGAGAGTTTCTTCCAGTTCCAGTAGCATCCTAGAAATCTATGGCTATTGAAGCAGAAAAGAAAGGACAATTTACAGCAGCTTGGTGTAAATTTCATAGAATAAACAGCTGCCGCAGACGTTTCAGTCTACGGGAGAAGATCTTCACTTTCTGATGAAGCTGCTTTCTTTCCATCATACCGCTTAAAGAGAGAAGGAAATTGGGATGAAACACAATTCTTAGTCACAAAGGATGTCATGTGAACAAAGAAGTAAAGAGAAATTTACTTAGATATGCAAGGTTTAAAATTACCTGCTTCCCAAAAGAGAATGGCAGATATTTATATTTCAACATGTGTCGTATTTGTCTTCTCATTGTAAGTGTGAACAGCACAACCCAGTAGAAAACGAGAATCGGCCAAAAGACAGGCACATCCAATACACTGAAAAATGTTAACACAAATGCAATGCAGAACGCCTTGGTAATTGAGTACCTTCACACAGAAAAACAGAAAAAATCAATGCCCAAAGAAATGGTTGAGAAATTAGACACACTGCTTATATAGGTTCTGGCACATGGAATTAATTTTGACATAGATGACAAAGGGCAGGGCTAACTGAAAAAATATCGTGACTCAAATTAGAACATGCCAGTTGACAGAAAAATAAACACAAAAACAAAACAAGGGACTGCATCTATTGATTTTTTGGGTGGCAAGCAAACACTATAATACCCATTGAAACATAAGAGATACACAGTATTTCTCTAGGAGCATCCTCTTTGGGGGTTTACAACAACAACAAAAGTCAGTCAAGACAGTACAAATCATTCCGCAACTCCAGTCTAAAGAGTGTGCGAAGGGAGAAAATATCCTCTCCATTTTTAGCCAATTTACAAGAATGCTAAATATGCGACATCACTATCAAGAGGCATGCATATTAAGAATGCTAAATATGTGACATCACAATCAAGAGGCATGCACCCGCATACATGTCCGTGTCTATTATAGTATCTAATACTTGAGCAGCAGCACCATTTTGGTCTTATACTTTTATGAAGCCTTGTGACATCCTTGTTTAATTTGAACCTTATCACACTATCACCACTCTACCAGCAGAATGTTTAACTCTCTATGAAAGGAAGTATAAATTACACTTAGAAAGTAAGCTATACATCTGGAGTTTTAATCAATTGCTCCTATGGTTAGCTAGAAATTTCAACAGCTGTCAGAGGAAGCATTTTCTACTACTGACGGTGCCACCAAGAGGACAAACACCCATTGAGTTAAGAACAGAAGGGACATCAGCTTGGATCATGCATGCCAAGTATCCATACTACGTTAACTCCTACATGAACATCATAGTCCAAACACAAGAAATATGTGATGATCAAGTCAATTATAGAAACATGAGTTTAATTAGTCGATTTATTAGTGAACAGGGAAATATATTATCAAGACGAATGAATAAATTGACATTTGCAAATTATCGGGTTTATTCATAAAAATAGATATATTCTTAAAGAGACAAGACCACGGTTCCCAAATTCACATAATCACTGACTATATGAATATCGAAGCAATGCCCGGTCGCTCATTTTTCTGCCTGACCTTTTCCCTTTTACAGTGATGCTTCACTACATATACATTTATTAATTCATCCATGCATAAGGTATAACATTTTTTTTTTTCTCATGTGTGGGGGCAGGGGGTGGGGGCAGTTCTAATTTGCTTAAAATTCTGCACTTAGACACACACACTAATGTGTTGAAGAGAGAGACAGAGATGGGAAGGATCAGCTTCTCTTGGCTCCAGCTTCAGTCGTCTTGATAATGAATCTTAAGACAAGATTTTAACTGCTTTCGTGACCTAAGGCAAAAGCTTTCACACCATATCTCTCACTCTTGGTGTATTTCTCTAGTTATAAAATGTTACCTTATTCAAAAGAATATCTGTCATACTTCATTGCAAACAATTTTTGTGAATCACATTAGTCTTGCTGTCTATATCTAGCTCAAGATACATAATAGCCATTGACAGTTGGAAAGAACCATGTTCGGAACCAAAACTTACTACAGAGCACTGAGCAGGATCACAGGAAATTGGCAATCTCACGTACAACATCAAATCTTTCACTAACAAAAATGCATACACCATAATCAACATCTGCAGTACTAGACTCAACATCAAAGAAACTTCTTTTTTTTAACCCAATGATTAAAATCTGCCGTCTCTAAACAGCACATGTTAACCATCAAAAGTCTCAACCTCAATTTTCTAGCTAAGCCGTTGCAGGTTTAACTTAAAGAAAAGAAATTCAATGGGAACCTTAAACACTTGCTCCTAGATCAAAGATAAAGAAAAAAGGAATTTTGATTCAAACTTAAATATGACGAGGTACAATACTAAAAGATTTGTTGATTGACTGCTATTTTCAGTATAATCTACTTGAGCAGGAGTTCTAAATCATAATTAACCATTTCAATTCTCCCGTCTCTCTGCTACAAATGGTATATATTTTCAAATCAAACAGAAGGTACAACGCGCGGAACTATAATTCAAGGGTTAGTCTCTGATCGGCGATATAGAACTTAGAAATTAAGATGACAGAAGCTGCAAAATATACGAAGCAAAGGAATTGACACAAAACATACCAGAATTTGAATTCAGGAAGGCGACGAACAAAAGGGCGGAATTCGTCGGTTTCTCGGGTCGGCAGAGTCGGGCCATCAGATAAATCCTGTAACTCCGGGTCAACTTGCGGCGACAGGAAGCCGATGAGGAGGTTAAGAAGATAGATTCCCAGGGCATAGGAGATAACGTAGAATCCTTCCACCAGATACACTCGCACGACATACAGGACAGCGATGAAGAAAAACGCAATCCAGCGGTATAATAAATACGGCGTCGTTTTATCCAGAAAGTGCTGGAACGAGAGAGAAGCAGATGAAGTCCACTGGCAAAAAGCACCGGATGGAGTAACATCGCCGGCACCGGCGCCGGCCGTGTTAATATCCATAGAGTTAGAGAGTGTTTCTTTCAAGTACGGCAGGGTTGTTTCAATTTTGAAAATACTCTGTAACCCACAGCTAAGTGAACAAACACAAAAAATAATTATGATCGAGTATAAATTATAAATTAATTTTAAAAACACATAGTACACTATTCGTCTCAATTTATGTGGTAATTTTTTATTTTCAAAATTCAAACGAATCTATTTTAATTTGTAATTTTATTTTATATATCTCTTAAATATTTTTAATTATCAATTATTTAATTCTCAAAATCTAAATTATATCACATAAGCTGAGACAAAGAGTATATATTTTTATTATAAAAAAGCCTAATCAAAATGATAGTAAACTACATAAAAATGACACATACCATATCGCTTGTTGCTTGACTGAATGTGTGAAAAAATTCTACTCTTCTTTTAATGTAATTGGTGCAGAGCTAATAAGGACAGAGAGGTTTATTCAAATTTCTTTAATAAAAAATTAGATTTTTTGTATATAGTTAAAATAAATTGTGCATATATATATATAGTAAATGTTTTAAATTATATTTCGGAGTAAGCGGAGAAAATAAAGTGAGAAAAGAAATTTGGCTGATTGAACCAAACTTACAGTAATTGAAGTTGCAAAGATTTGAACTTGTGTAGAACACAATAATAAAATACAAAAGAATTAGTAGGAGATTGCGTCAGTAGAGTTTGAGTGGTAGGATTATGTTGTTTAGATATATGTTACCTAGAGTTGTTCATGGTTATGGTTAAAAAAATTAAATCGAATCGTAATTTGAATCGAATTAGTTAAAAAATGAATTTGATTTGGTTTGGTTATAAATTTTGAAAATCGATACTATTTGATTTGATTTTGATTTTACTAAAAAATAACCGTAAAAATAACCAAATCGAACCGAGAAACTAGATATATAAATCTTATAGAAAAAATTATATATATATATATATATATTATTCATAAATAAAATATAAATGTTTTGTTAAATTTTAATCAACTTCAGTCTTTAATTTTACCATTTTTTCAAGCTCAAAACTTAAATTTTAGCTCAATTGTTACAACCTTAAGTCCAAATTCATCAAAATCCATTACCTTAGTCTTTACCTACTCTACCTCACATAAGATAGTCACATTTTTTCTTAATTGAATTGCTTTGTTCATGTAATAATAACACAAGCATTGCTTAATTGAACCCACGGTAACTAGCTTTCCTGTGGATTGTTGTGTCTGTGTCTATCGAGATATGTATGTACTCAAAAAATTTATTACTTTCAAATCGAACCAAACCGACAATAACCAAATCAGTGTTTTTTTTTTCTTTTCATTTGATTTGGTTTGGTTTTAGAAATTTTAGAACCGACTAGATTGATTTAGTTTTGGTTTTAACTAATAACCATCCAAATCAAACCTCAAACACTCCTACCTATTGGTACAAAACTTAGAGCTTATTTCACATTTGTTATTCGGAGGTTAAAAGTATTTATTTTGAAAAAAGATATATTTTTGAAAACTACAGTGTTTGAAAAATTAATAAAAATTAGTTTTCAATGGAAGCAAAAATAATTTTTCTTCTGTTGGGGTAGGAACTAAAAATTTCTGATTCTTAAAATAAATCAAAAGCATAAATGGAAAATTATTTTTTTCAAAACTAAATTATCCCTTTCATATATACATAGCTATCGATATATCTCTTATTAATTAATTAGAATATCTCATAAATTTGATTAAGCTTCATTTAATTTTTTTATATAATTTTTTAAAATTTTATTTTACGTTTATATATTATTATTTTATATTTTATATATTATTTCGCAAAATTAGAAAGAAAAAAAAGATAACAACAATATTTTTGCAATATTAGATAAAAGAAAAAAATTATCAATTCACCATTCCAGACCTCCCAAAAAAGGTATATTATTGATTGAAAATTTGAATACGTACATTTTAATTTATTTTTTATAATAATATTTAAAATAATCTCTCTTTGTAAAATAATCATAATATTAAAAGTGCATTGATATTTGTCATTTTCCGTAGTTTGATTCTCAAATGCACTTTTGAGAAAGTTTACACAGTTTGATTATCAAAATTATTTATCAAATGAATTAGTCAAACACAGACTATTTTTAAATGCTTTAATAAGCATTGAAGCATGAGTTGTGATAATTTTTTAATTTTTTTTGAAATTACGTGTCAATTGGTATAAAATGTTATCCTTAAAAATTTTACTTATTTTTTCTTTCAATAGCTAATAAAAGTGTTTCCACATTATAAAATTATAATGAAGACTAACTTATCCACAGAATTTTGCAATACATATTTTAACAATCTTAACATAAAGAAATTATATTCAATTTTGTAGATCCAATAATCAAAAAAGATAACGATCGAATAATAGGATATCATTTTGTTCAGATAATATTGAAACAAATGAAAAACAAATGTAGTTAAAATATCTTTAGTAGATAAAAAAGTATTGTTGATTATACTGTCAACATTTTTTATATATGAATTGAGTATGCTTTTCTTTTGTGAACTCAACTAAGTGTCGTTAACGATAATGTTAGTATCTTGATATATGTGGATATACTTTTTTTTTTGTGACTCGGAAGAAATAATGCTAAATTTTATGATTATATCATTAGAGACGGTTGAAAAGTCAAACAAATGCACAATCACATTTACTAATTATTTTTTCTCAAAACACTTCAAAGCCAAAATTTAGAAAAAAAATCTCAAATTTATTTAATAATTTTTATATATTTTATTTGATATTTATTTTTATAGCTTCTTAAAATACATGGTTGTTAATTTTATTTTGATAATAATTTATTGTTTCAATTGACTATATTAGAATTCATGTAATCTTTTGCAATGAGCATATATAAATTATTCTAGGTTATACAATATTACAACTGTTTAGATCTTAGGGATTTTTTAATTTATTTTTAATAAGTCAATTGTTACATAAACTATTTAAATTATTCTAGAACTATTGGAAATTTTTTAAAATAGATTTAAGAATGCACTTGATTGAGTATGCCAATTAGAATGTCATTTTTACGTATATAACATCCTATATTCAATTACAAAAATTGGTATAAATCATCAATAGGAGATCGACTGTTACACTTTAAAAGGTGTTCAAAATTAATATAAATATTTATATAAATTTAATCATTTGATAATCTAATTAGTTTGAGCTACAAATATTTAAAAAATCACTCATAAAATTAAAGAAAATATTATAAAGTCAACATTAAAAACACAAGTGTTTCAAATCAAAGTTAATTGAATAAACTAAGAAGTAGAAAGTATCTACAAATTTAATTGTCTACAACGATCAATCATAATTAAATTGATCGTATCTTTAAAAGGTAGTAAGACTTTGAAAAAATGTGCATAATGATTAGTAAATATATATATCCATTACTAATATATATGAGCGTGGATAACCACACAGGTGATGGTCAACATGTCTGCATCACCTGTGTGGTTCCACACATACATACACACACACATACATATATATTTTCTTCTGTTTTAATTTGTTTGTCTTATATATATATATATATATATTTATAAATTGCGTAAAAAATACTATAGATCATGATAATTGACAATTTAAAATATTTTTTAAAAAAACATATAAAAAATTCAATTGATTCATAAAATTAATCTATCCGTGTCACATAAAACGGGACAAAAGAAGTAACATGTATTATTTAATTTGAAAACTACGTAAAAAGTATTGTATATCTCAATAATTAACAACATTTGATTGACACTCGAAATTCTATATGTGCTACATATCGGGAAAAGAGAAATAACATATATTATTTAAAAATTACGTAAAAAGTACTATAAATTATAATAATTGACAACATAAAATATTTAAAAATCATATTAAAATTTAATCGACTCTCTAAATTTTATCAATGTCACATAAAATGAACCCAAATAATAATAAATATTGGGTCCATACTAACACGAACACTTATGTGTAACATATATATATATATATATAATATATATATATATAATGAATAATTTTGAGGCCTGAAATCATGTTTTAGTTGCTTTAGGATTGAGCCCCCTGGATCAAGCCATACCAATTAAATGTGATTAGTAGCACTTCATTCACTTACTAGTAACTGCTTGATTTGACACACTCATTAAGAAAATAATTGATAATATAAGTATTTTATCAAATTATTTCATGTTAAACAATGTCTTGAAAAATAAGTATTTAATGCTGAGGATAAAACATAAAAAAAAATTATTGTCTTTTCTTGATATGTCAGAAATGACAAGTAAAAATAAAATTTTACTTCATTTTAAGAATAAGCGACAAGTAAAAGTCAACCGCACTAGTAATAAATTAAATTTTAAAAGTATACAACAATATATTTTTTTCATTAAAATGATAAACTATATAAATGACACATCAATACGGTTTGTTAATTTAGTATACACTTGCTATTTCTTTTTCTTTGAAAGTATATGATATTGGTATAAAACAGTGTTCATAAATTTTATATAGGCATTTTTACTTGAAGTCTTGAATGATGTTTTTTCTTTCAATACGTTATATAAGTGTTTTTCACTCACACGAGAAATGTTTTATTTTGTAATAACATAATTTTTTAATAAAAGAAAGATAGAGAAGTTATAATTTTAATTGCACGTAGATTAATGTCATTTGTGATAAATTTATAATGAAAATTGAATGTATAAAAAAAAATCAGATATAATTTAAAGGCAAAAAGTAAAAGGACGAGGAAATTGGAGGATAAGTCATTTATTAACCAGAAGAAGATCTAACAAAAAAGAAACTCTGAAACTCATTTATCAAAAATATATAGTATTTTAATTGAGCTTCGACTACAGCTACGATCGCGATCTGGATAAATTTGTCCAAACTAACAGCACAAGTCGCCGGAAGCCACCAGTCACCACCGTTGCACCGCCTTGAATGTAGAAACCGTTGGCTGAGTTCTGGCATTCATTTGAAATTCGAAAACGGAATTAGAGCTTGCACCAACTTCTG